TCTACACATAAAACTTGTATAATTATCGCCTTCATAGTTGCTTCACTACGTTTTTCTTTGACTACACGCAAAGGGATTGGTCGCCGATTTCGTTTAATTACGTCTAAACCTTCCATCATTAAAATAAACCCAAAAAATACACATATTTTGAAATTGTCATTGCGACGCTCTTCCGTTAATTTTGAAATTATTATTACGTAACATCATGATGTATTCACGGAATGGTATGCGAAAACGTGGGCATCCGTTTATTGTTCCAAACAATGGAAACGTCGATTTCGACGAACGCACGACGAAAATTCTAATGCTGCTCCGGTGAAAAGGAGGAAGGCGTAGTCGAAATTTTCAACCGGCACCACATCTGGCGAACAGACATGGCTTTGTACTCGCACTGGTGTGATTTCCACTATATTCCGTAGTTGGTGCGTGCTCGAAAGTAGCAAGTTTCGTTGGAATTTCGGCGACGGAGGCCACGTGCGTAAACGCACAACACGTAAACAGGGTCTCGTTTCGCCGCGACGCGACACGGCCTAAATGTGGAGGTGGACGAAACGGAGAGAGATTCATAATACCCCGTCCGCTTGAACTCCCGTAGACTCCCGGGATCCCCGATTATTTTCGACGTGCTCGACATATACCCCGGTTGCGGATTAATATTTCGGTAAATAAATATACCGTCGCGGTGAACGGGCGAAACGACACGTCTCTGTGTGGCACGATATGCGTATGAGCGTTATTATGATTGAGCTCAATTGTCCAATTGCCCGGTCATTGAATGCCAAGCCGGGTTGCGGAGGCCGCTATTACCGAATCGCCAACGATACTCTCCCGGGCGATGGCGGATACGAAACGCCATTTTCTCGGACTAAATCCAAAGGCGGGAGCGGCGAGAGCGATGAGAGCCACTGCCAATCTTTTGTCTATTAAATGTATTCAACAGCGTAATAGCGGCTGATATTACCAATTGGACAATGAAAGAGATGGCAGCGCGATTTATCGTAGAAGGGGCAGAAAGGAGGGCGGGGGTTGGATGAACGAGGAGAGGAGAGGGTGAACCGAGAAGGAGATTTCGCAAAGAGATCTCGACTGGTCTTGCCAGTTGATCGAGCGTCCGATTTTCCGCTGGACCTGTGCCCGTATTCATATTCGTCCCATTCGCTCGTTCGTTTCATCGACATATAATACTGGACGAAGCATAGCATCTTGACAGACCTAGAAAGAGATGGAACGATGTTTGAGTAGTAGCGACTAATATATATAATAGGACAATAGTACACTGAAAAAAAAAATATTGGCTGCTGCAACAAATTAGATGGTAAAATATGGCCTAGCATCTTTAATTGGTTGCTGCAATCAAAAATTGGCTGCTATTTTACTAATTTGTCGCAGCAGCCAATCTTTTTTTTTTTTTTTTCAATGTAGAAAGAGAGTTCGACCAATAGAGTAGTAATAGAAAGAGAGTTCTATGCCTAAACATTTAGCTTTCTCTTTCTAGATCCGTCAAGATGAAAGATCAAAGACATTTCACCACATGTTCCATCCAGTATTATATGTCAATGTTCAGGGCTGCGTTCGGAAACCCGGGGATCATTTTATCCTTGTTTAACGTTGGGTGGAACAACAAGGATAAAACGATGGAGATTAATGTTTCTAAGCCTAGGAGATTCTAGGAGGAGAAAAATCGATACTGAAGAAGCCCACGTTTCTCTGTCCTCCTGTCAGCGATTCAATCTCGAATGGAGCTCATGAAAGAAGCTCGACTCGTTAAGATAATGAGCGCGCTTCCTCTTAATTTCTCTCGAAAAGATCTCGGATGATCCATTTCGAGGTGTAATTATGCGGGTATAGATACGTACATATCTGGCGAGACCTGGTTTCAGAGTGTCTACTCGTCAAGAATTCCGACGTTTCTATCAGCTCTCTGTTTCCCGGTCCATGAATCTTCTTTTTACTCCCGCGTTCCATTATGAAAGGACTACTTCCAGGGCGAAACGGAATCTTAATT